AGAAAATCTAAATTTAATTTTCCTGTTTTTCAGACTTGTTGTGTTATGCTTGGCAGATCACTTATTTAATTGCTCTATATCTTATATTCTTTAATACTGAGTTTTCTCCTTTGTCTGTTTACAGAATCCAGCCCAAACTGAAAAACCAGGATCTCTGGGTGCCCTTGTACAAGAAGCTTTTGCTTGTGGCTTCTCACTTAAAGCTATTTCCAGTTTATATAACAGTACAGTTAGGTATTACAAGTAAAATCTTTTCTTTTATGATACTTGTGAATTTAATCCAATGTACACAAATTACCCTTATTAAATGACCCACATAACAAAGTGGTGTCATAAACAGAAAGCTTTGGTTCCAAGCACTGCATGGTGGACAGGTAGAGTAAGTACACAACACTGAGTGTAGTAGTGAACAAAGGGAAAACTCAGAGTGAAGTGGGGTTTTACATAAACGAGGGTACACACAACCAAGTGTTTTTGAATCCAAGATAATGGATGAACCAGTTCCATTCTGCAAGCTAAAATTAGTCTATTCTTTTTTTGGCGCTGACAATCTATCTCTAGCTGAGCTTCTGCCAGGCTTTTGTGTTTGCCACCAATTTGAACCCATATGTTTTCCTCTTCATTTATGTGTCTGTGTAGCCTTTCATCCTCTCCCTCCAGCAGATCAACCTATGCAGACCTTCTTATAACTCTGTTATGGGAATCCTGATTTTTGTAAGCATTGTACAATTATAGATGACCTCTCCAAAGAGCCTCATGGATTTAAGCCACTGTCACCTGAAGCAAGTACTCCATATAAATCCTTCTCAGTTTTATCAAGCACTTAAAAAAACAGCAAAGTATTTGGTTCCCACTGCATTCTTTGCCTGTTTATGGTCTCCCTGGAAGTTGTCTCTGCTTTTAGATGAAGCCAAGCATGTCCAAGGGGATTTTTGTTTTAATTGTCTCTGCTTTTACATGGAGTCAAATGTATCTGAGAGGTTCTTGGGGCACTTTTGCCTTGTAAACTTGAAAGCTCTGTGCTTATTTGGTGCAAGGATTTATCCTTTTGTGGTAGCAGATTAGAACAGTGACACTAAACCAGCCATATAGATTAAACAGAGTTTACAGTCTGATACAGCTACACATGGAAAGGCTGTGATACCAGTCAGCATCCATAAACTGTACAAAAACAGAATCCCCAAATTCTCACAGCTGTTCCAGTATTTTGTCCATTGATTAAGCGTGGTTATGTCCTGGTAGTAGGAAGCTTCATGCAATGTGTTCTTCCATTAGGTAAACTCTGTTTTTGTTATAGCTGGGAGGTCTCCGTGTGGAATTCTAGCTAAGTCAAAAGCAGTAGTGTTGCGGATTCATTGGAAACAGCCAGTTTAATCCCCCAGCTAACACAAGTATGTTTTTTTCAATTCAGTCAAGGAATCCAGGCTTATAAAATGACTTTATAATGGTTTTTGAGGAATTGTTTACATGAGAGAATCAAGAGAGATGAAAAACAGAGAGGGTCGCTCTTCAGAAATGGGCTGCATACAGGAAATAGGAAACGTATGTGTCAACTTTGCTTCCAAGTTCCAGCGCTGACATGAAACAAGACATAACGAAGGCTGTTTCGGGGAAAAAGTTTCCACTTCTATAGGTTGAATCACACAGCGAGGCGAAGAGAAGGCAGCATAAGGGAAGCATTGTTAATAATGATGTTTTTTCAATTTCTGGCGTTGTTAATAATGCTATGGTTGCTGTTGTTGCAATAATGTTATTGTTGCAATTGATTAGGTGAAGTTCAAAAACTGTGTGCAAGAGTTCCCGTTCCCACTTCAGGACAAGAAAATGATAGAAGTATTGAGCTGCTTGTGCTCTCGCCATTCTGTTCTATTTTGGTTTGACCGAAGCCCTTATCGTGATTCTAAACTAAATAGTGATTCTAAATTAAATAGTATTTAATTTGCTTTTAATTACATTGAATTTCTCTGATAGTTGTAAGTGACGTCACTACAGTTCATGAAATTGTTTTTAAGTGTTGTTCTCATTGGAATTGCAGAGGAGAGAAATGTTTTCCCATAGCTATATGAATGATCGACTGTGCCTTCCTGCTTTATTAAAACATACTGCAACATTTTAAAAACATAAGAAAGTTTTATGTTTTGAGTTGTTAAATCCCAGTCCTGATTTACTCTCACATCTTTACCACTGAGCTTGAGAGAAGATTTGAAGTGCTCATATGCCTTTTCATTTCACACTGAATTTATAGGAAGTTTCCAAATAATAACAGTGAAGTTGGCAGGAATAAATGTAGACCAAATTGTGTAATCCCCACAAGGAAGCATAATTCTCTTATGAAGTATTTACAATAGCAAGCTTGGAAATCCAACAATAGGTTATATTGTTAATAGATTGTTTATAGTATCTTTTATTGACTGATTCATTCCTAATGGCAACAGATTTAGTCACCTAACATTCTTCATATGGCAGGCAGTTCAGTGTTCACTGTTGCTTTAAGAATCCTCTCAGGTATGAGAAAGTTTCTTTTCTACATAAATCAATAAATAGGACATAAATAGGACCTTGCAAAGTTCAGAAGTTCCCTGAAATGTTACTGAACTTTCTTATGCTCCCTTCCTGTGACCTGCCAATAACCCTTATCTCCCCTGCCTTCATGACCCTTTAATGTTTCCCTGGCTCTCCATTCCCTTCATCCTCCTAAAGAGCTTGGCTGTTTCCCAACTTGGATTCATCCAACAGGCCACCCTCCTTGGAAACTCTCCCAGTCTTTCAAACAGCCTTGCAGTACAGTAGCCTAAATACTAGTTTGCACATTTAAATTTCACATACTGCTGAACCTGTTATTTTGATATCTGAACTAAAAATTCCAGTACTATAGTTCATTGTAACCATCAGCGTATATTATGTGCACCTGATACACCTGATAGCTTCAGACATGACAGGATACTACAGCCACACACTTCACCCTGTTTTTCAACTGATTGCAGTTATCTAATACAGTTTTGGATGAGGTGTTAACTTTGAATGCGCCAAGTATAATGGTCCTCAAAAATTTTATTTTTAACAGCCACAACATACTTGCTCACAGATTTGTTCCAGCACAAATCACAGACTGGGTCTGATAGTCTTCACATTTTCCAGTTTGCCTACAAATAAATACAAGCTTCCCAGGAATTATCTGTAAAATAAGAAAGTATCCCAAGTGTCCCAGAAATATCCAGTTTTGTGAGTATTTAGGCAAGCAGTGTCAATGCAGCAGTCTAAACATCTTAGTGTGCTGCGCAAAAGGATGACTACTCACATGAACCTGGTGACAACTTGTTTTTTCACTGTTCCTCCTGTACTTAAGGTACCTCCTAGAATATTTGCAAGAGACTAGAATGAGCCCAGTTGCTTCTCTGTAACACAGACAAAGTTTAAGTTTGTCATCTCAAAATTAATGACAAAACAATGTCGTTCCAGTTGGGTATAGTAAAAGTCAGCCCGGGGGTTTAGAGGTGGGACAGAGAAGGGTGAAAAGGCTGTTGAGTGGGAACAGAGTCTTGAATGGTGACATGGCAAAAAAGCAGTAAAAGCATCCAGGTTGCAGCAGGGGAAGTGAACCAAGACACCAAGACGGCCAGTGTGGATATGTATGTGTATTGTGAATCCCCCACAAGTTTGGAAGGATTGAGATAAAGTCTGGAATATTCAGTAAGGGCAACATGACTTCAGCCACGTATTTCTTCTATCACAGATAAAGTAGACTGTCCTTGGCAGTTACCTATCTATGTGATGTGCTAGTTTGGTTTTTTACCATGCAATTAAAACAGTAGGCTCTGCAGTATATGTGTATGGTCTGAATTATATTTTCTAGTCTTTGGAGGAACAGCCCAAAATACTGTAAGAAATGAACATTTAAGGGATAAAGCACAAATTTATCTGTTTACAGGGATACACTGAACATTGAAAAACTGAAACATATTTAGTATATCTGGAGACTGAACAAACGCAGTGCCCTTTCTCTCTCATCCAGCATGTACTTCAGCCCCCAAAGCACCTCAGTAAGCCTTATTAAGAAACCTGCTCCATTTCATTAATAAGTCTTGTACTAGGACAATCAAGATTGGTCAGAGAGTTTGTGACACCACAAGTGCTGAATTAAGGGACTAAATTATCTCCTTCAACCAACAGATTGACTGGGAACACTTTCCTTTCTTACTGTCCCTTTGTAGATTGGACATTGACATCTCTCTAATGAGAGAGTTTTTCTTATGTCTCTGGATACAGGGAAATGATGTTTAAGTATCGACGTTGAAGACTGCCAGAAATATCAGAAACTGAAAGTAAAGCATATTGGTTATACACCAAGCCACTTGCATGTCATCAGTTTCAGTTTGTGCAAACCCATCAAATTTCATGTCCTTCATGATTTTACAATCCTCTGGGACCAGAATTTCAGATTTACATTGTTCAGCTGATCACTGCAGATAGGAATATATTTGATGTTATTTATCTGCTATTAAAAATATAACAGATTAGTAAGGTTAATTGTTCCTTGTGATAAAACCAGTGGTTGGTAACCTTAACTAGAGAGAATGCATTTATTAATTTATACTAATTTCATTTGTTTCAGGGTTGTGTAGAACAAAAGACAAAAGAATAACACACAGAAATCCCCTTCTCTACTGAAGCAGCCATAAGGTTCAGTGTCCCAGCTTTGAAATCCCTAATATATTTTGGCTAGTGAAAATGGATTAAGAAGATGTAAAATCATTCTGAATACCAGACTTTCCCAAACTCTTTATGTGTTGGAGAGAGAGAAGTTTCCTGAAATGTGATGTTCTTCAAGGAAACATATGCCAAGAAAAACAATGTGAACAGAACTTGCAGTAGTCTACCAAGTGCTGAAGAAGCCACTATTATCTCTAACACCTTGCCTTTAGTGCAAGTTTCATGATCTTATGTGCCAGATCTTCCCAGAATATTTCCTGAAGTAGTACATCTAGGAATCTGGATCCCAGAAGAGGTAACCAGGCACTGCAATAATATCACAACAGTCAAATTCTTCAGACATGTCTCAAACACCAAGAAGACCTCCCTTCAAGGTATGCTATATCTGTGGCAGAGAATTTGGGTCACAATCTATTGCTATACATGAACCTAAGTGCCTGGAGAAGTGGCGTATTGAGAACAATCAGCTACCAAAGCACCTTAGAAGGCCAGAGCCCAAGAAACCTGAGGTCCTTACTGGTTCTGGTTCCTATACACTTGCAGATGAAAATGAAGCAGCTTATTATAGTGCTCAAGCCCAGCTGGTGCCCTGTAGAAAGTGTGGCCGAACCTTTTTTCCTGACCGTCTCCCTGTGCACGAAAGGTGCTGCAAAGGAGGCGGCAGCGGCGCAAGGCTACCAAGTGCTGCTGCTGGTAAATCTGGTAAAGCACCAAGATCTGGACCTGGCCCAGCAAGTGGTATTCAACCTGAGGCCCATCAAGGAGCAAGCAGGGCTGCACCAGCTGTGTCAGACCAGGTAAATTGCTAACCATGTGCTGTATGAAAGGCTGTGCATGCATCTTGATGCTTGGCACTCCAGGGGAGATTGGCTTGGTGTCAAATTTAAAATCACTTTTCTTCAGAAGAAGCTTTTAACTGCATGCAAATTTTTCTCTGCTAAATAGAAGATAAAGAAAAGGGAAATACTGGGAAGGGACTAAGGGAAACTACTTATTCCTATTTATTTTGATTTTCCTTTTGAATGGGAGTAATTGGGTTCTCTGTTGAGAGTTTAAGAGTTATATCCCCAAGAGGTACAATTGCTTGATTTAGTTCCCTAGGAGATTCTATTGAGCAGATCAGGCAAGGTTTGGATGTCATATGTTTTAGGAGATGATAGGTGTTTTTCTTTAGTTAACATGAAATGCAATGTTTCATTGTCCTGCAAGCATCCAGCGCTTCAAAACATGATTTTCATATTCTACTGTTATTCTTAACCTTGGCATGCAACATCAGTTTACTGAGGACTGCATGTTCAAAGGCAGCAGTTCTGGGTATAATAACAACAAAATAAATAAGACTGCACATTTTTTTCCACTGAATTTGATTCAGGATCCAAGAATAAAGAAGCTGATTCACATTATCCAAAAGCTACACAGAGTTTTGGAAAATTGGATATTTTTTTGCATTTGTTTCTGCACAAGCTGTCCTTTGGCCAGGAGTTTTGTAAGATAGTTGTCTAAATTTAGGCCCAGTGTTCAAATTAAATGGCCTTTTTTTTTTTTTTTAATGCGGGCGGGAATCCTGATTGCCTACATTTTTTTCAAAAATGGGATTTAGATCTCTCAGTCACCAAAGGAATGCAATGCTATGCAGAGCATTTCTTAAGATGCTTTAGAAGGCAAAGTGTGTAACTTGTCAGTTTACCAGCTGCTGAGTAAAATTAAGATAATAGCATTACCCTAGCTCACATGAGACTAAAGACTTCAGGAGTCCTTCTTTATTATGCTATATGAGGCCACTAATTGATATATTTTGGCGAATGTAGTTATTATGCTCTATGAGGCCACTGATTGATACATTTTGGAAAGTTGATATATATTTAGCAAATTTGCCTTTATCAGCAAATTTTACATTATCCACAAGCAGTTCAAAGTGCTACACAGCTGCATTTATAGTTGTAGGAAAAGTGATGCTGTTTACACCACATTGTGCTCTTTCCCAAAGACCTGTCATTGCTCTAAAGGTGATTGTTCAATGAAAGGCATGGCTGTGAAGCAGAGAGTTTAATCTATCACACATAATTCTGTAGATTATAAAAGAGAGGGTGAGGGCAATTTTCTATAATTATGGTCCCATAAAAAAAAAGTTTAGAGTGTGGTTTGGCACTAACAGTGATCTGTAAAAAAAGTTACCCTCTTGCACAACATATCTGCTCCCCTTGTGGATTCACTCACATCTGCTGACTTGTTGAACAACAACATTATTGCCACTTTTTACTTCTGTGAGCTCTGCAGAGCCAAAATGAAATCTGTTCAAATCTGTTATTCCTTCTGTGTGAACAACAGGTTTCCTCATTTACTTTCAAGCAGTTACAGTTCATCAGTTGCAGCAGAACTAATGAGGTTGTAGAGCTTGCAGTTTGTAATTGACTTTGAAGGACTTTATTATTAACAGTGACTCTCAGGAAGAGATAATGGATTTTACATCTCTTGAGGTCTATCCTTTAGTACAGAATTATGCATTAAAGGCAGAGATGTGATGGGAAGATTGAAAGAAATATCCTGTGATCCAAGGGGTTCCTCTGGACTTGCAGACAACTTATAAGAAGCTGTCAAAGGAAGCCACTTTCCTGTAGATTTAAATTCTCTGTGAGAGAATCTTCATTTCCAGTTGAACATTTTGAAAGGTGTGTAAAACACACATTGAAGGGTGTGGAAAAGCATTAGGCATATGGAATAACTGCAGATTAATTATGAACAGGGACAAGGTCTGTGTCTCCACTAAAGTCTTCCTCTTTTTCCAGCATATGGTTTTCATTTTGCTCACCTTACCAGCTACTCAGCTGCTTATTAATACTGTTATAAAATAGTGCTTCACTAGTGGAGTGAAATGGCTACTGTTCTGGTCCTGGCTGGGAAGCATTTGAGGCAGTCCCTCTCTCATCTAACAGACTTACTCACTGTGACAGTGAATTATTTAATTACTTGCGTAAAGTCCTGATTCAGCAGAACATCAGAGGAAAGCAATAACTGAAAAAAAAAAAACACCCAGCCCTTATATATTTAGGAGAATTAGTGCTACCGTTAAATAAATTTATGCAGTAAAAGATGCCCTAAATGAAAAACCTGGATTTTCCTTATTTTCAAAATAAAGTTCTGACTGATTTAGTCGTATACCATGTAAAGTGCATTTTAACTTAACAACTGCAAGCACTTCTCCCTGTATGCCCTGGAGTTCTCTCCCCTTCAGCAAGTGTGGCATCAGCTAGGCCAGTATCATTACTGACAAACTCTTTCTCAGTTCTGCATTAAATGTCTTTGAGGTGGAGACTGAACAGCCTCTGTAAGCTGTCTCTTCCAGTACCTGTCCTCGCTCTCAGAATCAATGAACACATCTGAGTTAATCATGTCTGTGTACAATAACAGCAATTGCTTAGAGACTCTCAAGGGTCACATCAGCTCAGAAATTCTGCTTTGGATTCTGCTGTGATACCCCAAACAATGGAACTGGTGTCTGCAGCTACTGAAACTCAGACTTGCACTAAAACAGAGTCTTATGTTCTATTGTAGAACACAGATTCTGTTTTAGTGCAAGTCATAGACAAAAATATGTGATATGTGTAAGTGAGCACCAATAATTTGCTGTGTGTATATGAGTTATGGGGTTTTTGACAATAGATAATGCTGATCTTAAAAGCCTATTAGATGGTGCTGCCATCTGCTGTTTTCTTCTTATCTGGTTAACTACCTGAAAAGATTTCACTGATGTTCCTTTGCTGAATTGTAATGCATTTTAACACAATGTAAATCTTTAAAATTTGTGTAGCAAGAACTTTGATGTTGTATTTTACTCTAGCCTAAAACCATGTAGCATCTTGGTAAAGGGAAGGCTTCTTCAGGGGCAGTATAATTCTAATGAAGTTGGAAAGTCAATGAGCTTTTTTTGCCTCATTGAAGTGGTTTTGAATACCTTCCTAGAGAATACTGACAAATAAATTTGCAATATAGAAAGTTAGATGAGAATGGACAGTGAATGGGTGGTTTGAATGAAGCTTACTGAGTATTATCATTGGGAATGTGTCCTTCCTTCCTTTGCTTGTACATAGATGCGCTATTCATTGTACTGACATACTCAATTTAAAAAAAACCACATCAGGAGCAAAATGGGATATTTCATGCTTCCAGTGGAGTAATATTTTTAATGTTATGCATAATCTTGCAGAATTACCTTGCTGCTCAAGGCATGTGACCCTAACATGAGTGCTGTTGTAGACTGTGAAGTGCAGCTTTGGATAGTCATGAGATAGTCACCATATACCTTGTCCGTGATCCTTATGCAAAATGTCTTTTACTTGGCTGAGAGGAATGTGTGGAAAGGGTTGCTTTCATGCAATAGACTGCTGCTACTAAGTGCTTGCACCATTCTTTTCCTGAGCCTCTAATCCATGGGCAGTTCAAGTCTATGACAAGAGCTCCATCCCAGAGCAGGATGCCCCCCCCTCTTCCCATTAAAATAAATGGATAATTAAACAAATAAGAAGGGAAGAGGTGTGTGCAGTCCTGGATGATAAATATTTATGTAGGGAAGTTTGGGATTCAGTCTTATTGTGTGTACTTAAGAAGAAATAAAAAGCTTTGTGCAGTATGGAAGGATTTGACCTCATGTAACACCGTAACAGCAGCCTGGGGCTAACCTTAAGTAATGTCAGGTCTATTGAAAATACATAGTTGCATAGCCCTCTGAACTAAATAACTTCATTCATAGTCACGCAGACATACTTAGCAGTCTTGGAGTAAAAAAGAAAATACTGAGACACCAGAGGAAAGCCTAACTACTCTGTTAGGTATTTGTAGGTATTTTTATAATAACACATATCCTCAGGAACAGACCTTCCCTACAACCCTTTTTGAAAGTTAAAAACAAAGCAGTGAACAGACAGCCTAGCCACTGGCCTGTGAGTAGTTTGGGTTGGAAAATTGTGGAGTTTCCAAAAATAGTTTAGTTTCAAACTGCAGGCCTCCAGATGTTATATTTGGGATAGACACACTGAAAACAAAAAGAAATGAAGGATAAATATCATCAGCTGTAGAAATTCCAAGTAAAGCTTATCATATCTTGGATTCCACAGTTAAAAAAAGAAAAATCTGTTACTACCAATTGTTAGGCTAATCTCTTTCAGGTTTTAAACATGTGTGCAGAGAACAATTTGTGTATATAATTGTATGTGTAGTGACGGGTCAATCTCAGTATTTTTCGGCAATAAAAAAACTCTATCCCAAGAGTGATCTGATTTCTTTTAATTAATTCTGCTTTCTCCTGTTGTTTCTGTACCATTTTTAATTGTGGAAATTGCAAAAGACAGACATTTCTACTTGAAAAAATTTCTGCATTTGCACTAGGATTTCTTTTTCTTATTGTTACCATAGAAGAGTCCCTACAATGTGAATATAAGTAAATTGTTCTTTCCTAGTTTGTAGCCAATAAGTAACTATTTAAATGAATGGCAGGAACCCAGCTAATGAGAACTCATGGGGAAAGTGTGTTCCCAATGATTTTACACCTAGCATTTTTTAAGAAACCATTTCTAAAATAGTATAACCATACCCACAGCAGGAATGCACACTAAAAAGAGTTCTCTGACCTCAGGAGTTTAGATTGTAGTTTCCTTATCTAAAGCTCTCCAGAGCCTACAAATAAATGTATAGTGTCTTTAGAAGACTTTGTATCTGGACCCAGAGTCTTTAAAATCAGACAAGTTCTAGCTCACAACTTGAAGTAAAGAAGTAACTGAAATTAGATAATGGAAAGTTATAAGATGTTTTTAAAATAGCCGTTGCTGTATTCATCTAAAAAATAGGAGAAGGCTGTATTTTTACATATATTAGAAAATTTGCTTATATAAAACACTGTGTTATCAAAGATAGCAAGGAAATTCCATTTGTAAGTCAAGAGGATGAAAATGTCCTTGGAGAACCCGTCTTTTCAAGACACTGTGAGAACTTTCCAGATGAAGTCCAACTTTTCCCAGAAAAAATACACTTTATAGAGTAGTATTTCTTTCATGTAAGTGAGATTACATGTGTGATACAGGAAGGCAATCTTATGCAGATTGTTCACTAATGACATTTTCAGACTGTAACATAAATACAAGAAGAGCTGCCCAGAATTTTGTGAACACATTGATGGGCTGACAGAAAGAGCCATAAATACGGAAACAGGTTATGCTTTGTCTTACACAGCAGCAGAGGAAAAAATGAAACCCCCGCCACCCCTGTTTGAGTGAGAAAGGTTTCCTGTATTTGGTCTGGCATGGCTGTCCGTCTAACTTGAGGAGGGCAGGGATAGCTCATCTCTTACTGGTATTCTGCAGTCAGAAGTGTAGGAAGTGCTGGCAGTTGTGAGACCCATCTGTGTGCCTCAGAGTTCTTCTCTGCAGCATGTTTTTATCCTACTTCCTGAGCACGGCTGGTGCTGACACCACGCCTAGCCCAAGACGCGCCTAAGGACACAGCTGAGTCCATAATCTGCAATACCACAGTAATTATACACTTTTCAGCCTTAGATTATGTATTTGTGAGGTTTGGGGTTGAGGAAACTTTTTCTTCTGTTGTTGAGCTGTTTTCCTCTGAGAACAAAAGCAGATCTTCAGTGTGGAAACAATGACTTGCTTAGAGTCCAGTTCTGCCCTTGCTGCAGTCACTGGCAAAGTTTACACTAAGGAAGGCCTTTGGGATAAACAAACAGCAGTTTCTTTTTTGCCCCTCATCCTGAAATATCCTGGCTTGGTTTTAATCTTTGAAGACCAAGAATTCCACCAGATAACTAATCTGTGCCAAAAGTTGAGGTAAAGAACCACAATCATCTCTTGGGAGAGCTGCCCTTGCTGTCCTGCTTAAGAGAGATACTAAGGCTGGACACAGTGCTTTGAGCTGTGTGCTGGTAGAAGATGGAGTCTTTCTGTTATTGTACTAGACGTCAAGAGTTCAGCTGATGAAGCTTCTGTTGCTGCTTTCCATTTTACGTCTGATTTGTAAGTAAAAAATGGCTTCAACCATTTAAGATGAATGTTGCATTGTAACCTGATGAAGCAGAGGTGCTGTTTCTGCATGTGAAGACTTAGAAACATTCACAACAAATTTCCATGAACTTTCAGGTATGAAAATCAAAGAGAGGAAACTTAACACAGTTAAGTATAGATTAGTCCCACACATCAGTCATCCCAGCATCTGCAGAAGAAACCTGCCTGTTCCAGGTGCCCACTTAATGAGGCAATATCTCTTACAAGCCTCAGGACTGATTCCCAACAAAACCAGACTGAAAAAAACAGTTACACAGATTTCACAGATAACACATTCCTTATCTACATGATTGCTTCCATACAAAGTCATTCTGATTCAAAGTGAATATTGAAAACGATATTTATTTTTCTTCATGGTTGTTATTTGCAGGCAAAAGTGATAAGACGGCCACCAACAGTGATTTGCTACATATGTGGCCGTGAGTATGGAACAAAATCTATTAGTATACATGAGCCACAATGCCTGAAAAAATGGCACCAGGAGAATGAAAACCTCCCCAAGCACTTGAGAAGGCCAGAACCCAAAAAACCTGAAGTCAGGACTGTGCAAGGTAAGCTACAGACTAAATTATGAGAGATGAGCAAAAGATTGTGAGGAATTAAAAAAATATTTTAAAGCAATAGGTAAACAGTTTGCTGTTCTCCAGTGTACTGTCAAGATCTTGTTTTAAGCTTTCCCTCTGCTTCACAGAAGGAAACCTTATAATAAAGTCTTGAAAGTAAAAGTAGTCATTATCTATGGAACATGGCTCCTGGGACATTCCCCTCTATGTGCCAATGTGTCCTGAATCAAAACACAAATAGATTAGCAACCTGCTTCACAGCTACACTACTACTTTTTGACTTCTTTTAACACAGGCACATCTTAAAATGAGCAAAAACATCCAAGAATTACGTGCAGACATGACACAGAATCATTAAAATAAAATATCCTCAGGCAACATAGGTATAGATACTTCAGCCAGATTCTTCTACAGTCAACAGCCCATATTGATGCCTTTTTATTTACAAGTCTGAGAAGCTTTCATTGTGAGACACTGTAATATAAACACAGTGGAGAAAAATACATATGTAGTACAAACTAAACAATTAATTTTTGCCAAATCTACATGTTTATGCAGTGGGTTCTGTTTCCTAAGGTTCCATTTCTTCAAATCAATGAACACTGATGATCCCCAGCATCCCCACAGATGGGCTGTCATATGTATCTGAGGGTCATATGTTCACTCTAGAATGTAAAGGAATTCCTATACATGCTTTGCCTGGAAGCTCTTCCCAGGACTTCCCACTCCCACAAAGTTATTTCACCTTTCTTGCTGGATGCTTTCCCTGGCCCTGCCAGCTGGTCTGAACTACTTTGGGCCAAGTTTGGACCACTTCCTCACAGGCATTTAATTCACACACACTTTTTCTTTTTTTTTTTTAAATTCCCCACAATTTCCCTCAGCTTCCCAAAATGTCTGGAAAAGTAGACAAAGTCTCCTACAACTCACTTGTGAAAGAGTCATACACCAGATCAGTTTACAGCAGTACAAAGAAATATGTCCTCAGAAGACATGCAGAAGAGAGCAGGATCACTGAGAACACTAACCAGATGTTCAAAATAATAATCAAAGTTGAAGTAATATAAAATCGGAACTTGGTTAACAGATGCCAAGTGGCATACTTGAATCTACAGTAAAAGATGTGTTCAAAAGACATCTTCATTGTATTTGCCTTTTAAGATGTTAAGCACTTTTTAATTATTACACATTGTGTGGTAAAACAGATGGAGACAATGAGAATTCCATGTGAAAGAGGGGGATGCAAAAAGGCAAATCAGGTTATTTTGAAATACACTATTCTTATTTTGAAGGAGTGAAAGCAGAGAGACAACTACTCTTTGAGAAAACAATCTAGCAGAAGGCTCCCAGATATGAATCAGAAAGTTGTCTCATTTACTCAATGAGTCATATCACAGGCGCCTCCAATCTCCTGTGAGGTGTGTGCCCACAGTTCCTCTGGGGATACTGACCTGCTTCCAGCATCTGTCCCTAAATGCCTGCTGATGCAAGCCTGATCTGTTCTGTAGCTTGAGCTAAAACTGTTGTTCCCCCTGCAGCTGCCTCATATTCCTGGCCTTGAGAAAATAAGCTGTGTTGTTCTTTTTCCATAGGACTTACTCTTGGTCATGTGGTAAATGCTATAACTGACCTTCACACCACATGCATGTACTGCATGTCTCACAGTTTCTTAGCTCAGGGGGGAGGGATTACCCCTGTTGTTCAATGAAATAGACAATGTTCAAAAAAAGCTCAGAAATATTAACTGCTTTCATAAAACTTTTTATAACTTACATAAATCTTTTTCTGAAAACTCAAGTGCCACAGGAAGACAACCACTGCCCTCATTACACAGTGTTTTGTTTGTGGAATGCCTAACACATGCCTGCAAGGAGAAAGTCATCTCTCTTTCTCCCTCTCCTCTTTTTTTTTTTTTTTAATATTCCATAAACTTTCCAAAGTACAGAAAATACACATTCATTTCCTGCAAGCAGAGGGGATATTTGTCTCAGCCAAGAAAAGAAACACTACTTGATTGCTCTTCTAACAAAAAGAACATTAGGAACAGGCATATTAAGAGATCTAAGGCTTATTGTGGTTATGTGAACCACTGGATATGATTCATATTAAAATTGTATGGGCCTTTAATGAAGAGCTCTATCATGTGCCAATGACAGAAACCATGAAATATTTTTAAATGCAAAAATCCTTTTCTTTCAAAAATTGTCCACTGCTAAAAGTTCAAAGAAAAAAAAACAGATTTTAAAATCTTTTTCTATATTGTCATACCAAATAAGAAGGGTGAAGCAAATACGTCTTTAATTTGAGCCATGTAGACTTTGTAGACCTTTTTGTGCATGCACTTCAAATGAAAATCCGTAAGATCTAAATCCAGGTATTAAGCAACCTGACTGGCCTTTTTGCAAATCGTTTTGAAACAACAGTATGTGAAAATCCATTTTGAAAGGAAAGTCCATTTCAAGATGAAAGTAAACAAGATTTTTTTTTTTTACCCAAATTAAATCTTGAAAACACATCTGAGTGTTTGAAGAATGCTTCCGAGTTTTCAGAGCAGTCATTCTTCCCACAGTGGAAAATAACTGAGGGTAGGGCTGGATTAGTGTTTAGATGACAATAGATGCATCACTGCAATGACTTCACAGGAAGTTGTGGCTTTAAAGTACTGTAGTTTTTGTCTGTAAGGTTTTAGGCTTATCTAAGATTTACTCTATTTTTTAAGTATAACTTACATGGATTCTAACAGGAAGAAAATTGGGCCCCTTGTCCAGAGCAGTACAAAGAGCATATTCTCAAGTATGATATGCTCCCACACATAGCCATGGTCAGATAACACATGCTTGTTAAACAGAGCTTGAAGCAAAGCCAAAAAGTGAATTTGCTGATTATAGTACCTATGCAAAGATGTTAATAATTAGCTGAGAATGCAGATCATAACACACAGCATGATGTTTTCTCTGTACTCTCATACAATACAAAATTATTCAGTTTAAAGTTAATTTAATTCAACCCTTGGGACAAAAAACAGTCTTTTTAATATACTTTTTACTCTTTTGCTTCTTTCTTTTCTTTTTCATTTGCAAAAGCAATATGGTTTGGTTAAACTGAAAGGCTCAGTCAACAGGTATTTCCTGAAAATATTTTCCATAAAGAGTTGAATGTGGGTCTCCAGAATGAAAGCTGATACTTTCTTTTTCTAATTTTCCAGCCAAAGGTTTCTACGATCTTGATGCTCTAAATGAGGCTGCCTGGACCAGTGCCCAAGCCCAGCTAGTTCCATGTGATGTTTGCGGGCGTACTTTTCTTCCAGACAGACTGATTGTCCACCAGAGGTCCTGTAAACCAAAACCTGCAAAGTGAAGTGGATGTAACACACATGCATACAAATGCACGTCTGCTCACACATACACAGAGACACAGACACACATTTATCCTAAGCTAAATAAAGCATTTGTGTGTGTGTGTGTAAGTGTGTGCACATGAATACACACACATGCACCCATGCCTTTCAGACAAACCATGAGAGAAATAAAATTCATCTGGAGAGACATGGTCACCAAAACTTTATTGTGTAATGATATCATGTGCTTCAAAAGTCTCCAGAGTAAAAATCAGCCGTTGCTACTAAAGAGTAAAGTCAAATAGAGAAAATTATTTCATTGGAAACAAAATTTTGCTTCTCCTCTTTCCAAGACTCTCTGGTTGGTGTAAAGATCTTTAGCCGAACTTGACTAGCCAGAGAAACCATGTAGCTCCTTTAAGTTTGTTCATTTTTTTTTTTTTGGGGTTTTCAGTTTTTGCGGGTTTTTTTTGTTTGAAGCACTCCAGTGTTCACATTCATGTGTAACTGCATCTTATGAAGCTCTTGACTGCTACATGTGAAACCTTCTCATGTAAAGGGATCCATTCGTGTGGTAGAAGCAGACACAGGCTGTTTGTAAAAAAACACCCAGAAGTGCCCTCTTTTTGTTTAAGAATTAGGCTGACCATGTGATTTATCCTCAGCTCAGTAAACTCTTCATGTAAAAAGATTTGTAAGTCAGGGAAGCACATTTTGGTCACGAGCTTTGTAAAATAAAACATTTTAATGTCAAGACAAAATGATCATGATGTGCCAGATGGCTGGCATAAAATACCACCCTGCCTTCTGTACCAGTTGTGGCCATAACAGAGCCAGTGCTGGCTGGAAGAATGGGTATTATACAAGAAAGCCATGGGGAAGGTGTTTGAAGGTGCTATTTTGAAAAATGCTGTTACCTTGTGTAGAGGAATGAGTATACACATCAATATAGGAATAGGCTAAACACATGAAGGAAGCAATACTCCCTTTTACAAGGTACAGCAGAGAGCAATTATTATTTTACTTACTCTGAAGCCTTTTATTAAGTGGTGAGGTTATTCAAAAGGTATGACAAAATCCAGTACAAGTTGTGAACTAGCAATCTAGGCTTCCTGATATCATGAAAGAAACTGTACATCATGTATGGGCTTAAGGCCTAGAGTTGTGTGTTGTGTATTATGTGATTGATGTGACTTTTCTCAGAGCATTCACACTTACTATTGTACTTACAAATCAGAGGAAGCGAGTGCTTTCATACACACTAAAATGAAATATGGGTACCAACAACTTTTCCAAGCAATCAAGCTGTGTGATTTGTGGAGTAAGTGAAACAAGAAGCAATATCTTTGTTCTGTTATTAGAGAAATGCTCCTGACTCCAGCCCTGGCGGGCTATTAATTCAGACTGGAAAAGTACCAGCATTCTTTGGTGAAAATAATTTCCAAAACAATCAGTGGTACCTCAGCAGCCCTTTCATCTTTGGAATGAGGATTGTATAGTCTGAAGATAGATATCTTCAGGAGTCAAAGGTTCAGTTTCTGTTCTACAGAACAAAGCTGTGTAAACCCTGCAGATCTGTTGTTAGTGTCTCCAGCGTAAGAAGAGGTGCTGTCGGAGCTGGACCAATGCCACCCCTCCTTCTTTTGGCTTGGAGAAGGCATGTGGCCTGAGGACAGAAGAATAGGGGCACTAGTTTGTGATTGCTAGACTGGCTCCTAGGAGCTGCTGGCTGGCAACATATACTGCGAGCTCCTGAGGTCACACCAAGGGCCGGCCCACTGACAAGTGGTTTGGTAACTGGAGGATTATGGATATCATACAATCTCACCTTTGTGTCCCCTCTTGCTCTTCTTGGAATACTTTCTTTTCTTAGACACAATAAGCATTTTTTGGTTACATCTGCCTCATTGGGTCATTGAGATTCACTACATCCACTTCCAGAGCAAAAACATATTTTAAAGAAAGTAAGCCTTTGCAGAGTCACTGCAATGTTTGCCATTAAAAATTCAGCTCTGCCTCTTGGTGGAATTCATGTATTGGAGTCCCTGTGTAATTCTGAAAGTTGGATTTAGTGTCTTGATGGTTCTAAATCTGTCCGAGATTTCACCCAGAACATGTTTTCTGTGTTTCATTGTCAGCTCTACACTTGGATATATTTTGGTTTCTGGAATTTTTTCTCAAAAAGCAGTAAAATCTGTCTGATGAGCTGAATGTTTGTGAACAATAAAAAAGTACCAATATTAAATGTATATTGTGTCTTATCCAGAAATACTCTTGTAGGGGAACTCCTGAAGCCATAAGCCTAGAGTATGTTTTCCATATCATCTTTTAAAAAGGGAAATGAGGATCTGTCAAATTAAGAGCTGTCTCCTCTAGCTGGTGATTGCTGCTGAGTTCTAGATTCAGTGTGGGATTTGGGAAATGGTGAGCCTTACCACTCACAGAGTAAAGTCAGCATTGGGCTGTTCGGGCTGATGGTGAGACCAGAGCATGCAGAAGCTCAGCTGGAGCCAACAACCCTTGGAAAGATCTCAAGGGTTGTAGCATTCCCTTCCCTCCACAACTTCATGCGAACAATGATTTCCAAAATATGTAGAAATATAAAAATCACTGACATAGGAGTGCATATTGTTCCGTTTCAGATGTCACTCACATCCCAAGGTTAATCTGTCACAAGCTTTTCTGCTGAGCTCACCAGTGCTGGTGTGTTTGCTGACGATGACAGTGAGGTCAAAGCAAGCTTTGTTTACTGGGAGAAGCGCTGAGAATGCTTTCATGGCTTGCTCTCAGCAGACTTAAAATGAGATCTTACGAGCATTACAATTATTGCTTGGCATGTATAATTTTGACTTGTTTTGCAGGAGAGGAAAAGGAAATGAGAAATTGAGCTACTTTGCTTCCTTTGTTTCCGTACTTTTGTGATTTGTCATTTAACCTTATCTCATCCACTATTGGCTCAATGTTATTTCCAGCTGAATCCCATGTTTCCTACTGCCACAGCACATTTAAAGAGCTGAAAAATATCTTCTGGTACTTCAAAACCAGTGACATTTCATCTAATTTCCCACAATTGTGCTGAGAGCAGCTAAAAATATTCCTGGACAAAATATTCAGAAAGTCAGGACATGGATTGACAAGCAAAATTTAATCACATTAAACAAATGAGCATGCACTTTCTGATCCTAAATAAAAGCCATGACTTAAGTTTTAGTTCAGCCATTTGAACCTACCAATTTCAAATTAAAAAGAGGCATTTTATAAAAGCAAATCAGAAGATCATAGTCGAGCTAGAAGCATTTAACGGCAGACTTGAAAAATTGGGCATTAATGAAAGAATCCATAACTGTAGTTAAGTATTATATGCAAAGAGTTATAATCTCTTGAGTTGGGAATGTCACAGTTACCATACAAACTTCAAAAGGTCCTGAATCTTTAAGGGCAGTAGTTAAAAATGCCTGATAGGCTTGAACAAGACAGTTTCATGGACCTTTTTTCTTAAAGGCTACTGGGAGTGAATGGACCACAACTTGAGGAATAAAAACATTTGTAAATGTAATGTCAGTTTCTAACTGAAGATAGTGAGCACTTGTATGGATCTGTGAATTCTCTTTGCAGGCCACAGACCTAGAAAGCATATAGCACCATGTAGAAATTATGTTTTCAGTAGTGACTACTCACAATTTGAATGCTTAAGCTTTAGTCCCGGATTTGTAAACAGGATTTTTGATCCTGTGCTCACTGAAACAAATCCTACATCTATTGTACTGTATGTATGTATATACTGTACTGTATGAGTATGATCAGTGTTGACATATGTGTGTGTCTTAATCCAATTAAATAGTGCAGTTTTTTATGATGGCACACAGGCTTTCAAAGCCTATCTTTGCTTAACAATAACAAATTCTCATAGTTGAGAATTTTGGGTTTATTACCCAGTGCACAGAGCTGGTCCATGAAGAAGGAATTCTAGGTGGTCTTCTGTCTTAATTAATGTTTTCTTCCAGGGTCCTCTGCTTAGTTTTGCTTTGCTGTCAGTGGGGATAAGGCTTCTCAATTCTGTATTTCTGAACTATGTTAACCACAGTGGGTACAAATGAGTTTGCTGTATGTGGATACATGCCACCCCCAGTAACATGGCTGGATTGTGCAAAAGCAGGATTCAACAGGGGTGTGAAGTCCACCAAAAAAAAGAAACCTGCAAGCCTGGAAAACCCTCCAAGAAGTCGACCGAGGGACTGTCTAAATTCTTGCATGCTATTACTGTTTATTCCTTGGTCAATAACATAACTGATATACACAGTATTGATGACTCTGGAGCACACAAGAATGAGGTACTCCTCCTAAATATATATTTCCTAAAAAAACTTCCATCATTTTCAGTTGAAGAAAATAATTTATAATCTTCACAGAGTTGAGAAGAAAGAGTTGACAGCAGAGCAGGAAATTGTACCTGACAAGAGAGACTCCAGGAGGCCAGACTGTTTAACTTCTCAAAAAAACCCATAAAGTGCCTCCCTGATAGCCTGTACATATCCAGACTAAAGAGACTTCTTTCCAGAAGAAAACAACTGAACAATTTCCAAGCAGGAATTTGTTGCTAGTCAAACTCAGAAGGAAGAAACTCAGAACTTCCAAGCAGTTTACTGAGATTTTCAGTAGAATGTCTGTGGCAGGATTTTTACAAACAAAATTTAAAAAAAAAAGTTATGCATAGGTATAATATGAATAAATTTAGGCCAGCCTTGTATTACAGTATAGCTTGTAGAACACTGGACTCTAAGATTTTTCCAGATGATCATGAAATATAATAATTAACATATATTTTTCAGAACAGTTTGTAGAAGTCTAAGAAAAATATTGCAAGTAACTAGTTTTGGAGACTCAAGGACCATTTACTAAAATCATCCCCCAGCCTTGGAATGGTTGCAATAAGTAATACATCCCAATATTAAGCCGAGAGAAACCCCTTTCCCACAGGCCTTTGTATTCACATGTTAATTCCCTCTGAGTTCTGTTGGCCCATTGGCCCATTGGCTCTGACCACCCTGTTGAGGCCCCAT